GGGCCCCCACTGACCCTACGCCTGTCAGCGCGGGGCCGCTAGAAGCAGCATCTGGCGGAGGAGGTAGGTCCAGAGGAGCTGCGCCCGGCCCCGGATGCATTTCTCCCCGCAGCAGTGCATTGCGTGGCGGCCGCACGCAGGTTCTCGCTGTCACGGAGGGCGGTGCTGTGCCGCGGCCGGCTCTCAGCTCGGGCTGGGGGCGGCAGGGGAAGGATGCGACGGGCGTGTCTCAGCACAGACCCTAAATGAGTCCTTCCTTTTGGGAAAGAAAAAGTGACGGGAGGCATAAATTCCACGCATCTAACTCCTGAAAAGTGCTTGTGCACTGGGCATGAGCACTCGCAGCAGGTGTCCTCACGCTGCCTTGGATCGTGTCCCCCCTGCTTCTCCTGGAGCGCACAGGCTGCCGGATCAGCACGTGGAGCTGTCCCGTGTGCACGGGGCTGAAGGGAGGCAGTAGTTCTACTTCTAGAAGCCACAAATTCATTCCCTTTGGTATTAAAGCAAGTGATCCTAAAGAGCATTGGCACACAGTGCCATAGCAATAATTCTGACAGGTAACTGGTTTTTGTAGACCTCTACAGCATTATAGATATTGCATACAACCCAGATGTTCTTCAGAGGGGAGAAGAAGACCCAGAAAAAATGGAGCACTTGATCCATTTGACACTGAAGTTCGTTGAGGAACGATGCAGCCTCCCTCTCTCTCGTTTGTACACCATTGAACCATTCACACTGAAAGGAAGCCTGGAGCTGATGCGGCAGCGTCTGCGTGGAGGGCAGAGGCCAACTCCACATCTCAGCCAGAACACAAAGAAGGGTATGTAGCCATCTGCTGCTGCTTTTCTTTGAGGACCTGTCAGATTCTCCAACCAATTTACTCAAGCCTTCTCTCTTACTCCAGTTCTTGCTGTAAGTATAAACCAAATATTCTCTCCTAAGAATGCATAAGGCAGTGGTATTCATACCAGGTGTTAGTGTAACACTGCTGGCCTCTCTGCATCCTTCTCTGGTGTTTGGCAATTGAGAAACTGTACTGAGCCTGGAAGAGTGAATTCCCTTCTTCCTATACCACTAGAAAAGGGAACTCTGCCACGGTTTGATCCTTCCAGGTGCCAGGTTCCTTTTGCTCTAACCTGAGTAAAAGGGGTTGCTGCTTTAATTACTAGCCTGAAAACAAGAACTTCTAATCCCATGACAAGAAAACCAAATTGTGAGCAAAGGAGAAGCTGGCAGTAACAGCCTGCAGCTTGCACAGTTGCTAATTACAATTAATTACAGATAAAACTTTGATACATAAGTGGCATAACATTATTGTTCTAAGTTTTTCACACGTATCACTTGGTTACTTTTTCCACAAAGCACTGACAGTTGATGAGCTGCTGCAGGCTCTGGAAGCTGAGGACTGCAGCCATGCTTCTCTGCTGCTGGAGGAAGGAAGTGTGACTGAGTCCAAAGTGCATCTGATAGAGGAGATGAGCAGCACTGACACGCCACAGGAGCCAAGGACCCCTGCCTATGAAATGCTCACTGTGAAGGATGCAAACAAGAAACCACTCAAAATTGAACTCAAAATTCAGTTGCCTCAGGTTAGCTCTGTTTCTGAGTGTGATCTGAGAATTTCAAAGGTAAGACAGCAGGAAGAATAAACTTGTGATTCCTGTCTAGTATCCAATTCCTAAAAATGCTCATTGCTAATTCACTGTCAGATAGTTAATCAAGTGTTTTAATTTTCTTGGTTTAGGATGACATAATCATTGAAGTCCCTGAAAAATACAAATTACAACTAGATCTGCCAGAACTGGTGGATGAAGAAACAACTACAGCAGTGTTCAACAAAGGAAAACGGGTACTGTTTGTCACAGCACCAGTTGCCAAGCCAGACCCTGAAGACTGTGTTCTGTCCAGTTCCTGTTCAGAGATGATGGAAGAGAAGAAAAGCCCAGAGTGAGAGTCCTAACCTGTAGATGGTGATGAGCTGCTTTTCATTGGCCTTCTCACTTTCAGGGGTGAATACCTCAAATGTGTTTAGAAAGATGCATTTGGCAAAGGAGATCTGGAAGAATACTAGCACCACTGTACTTAGGAAAAAAACAAGTAAAGGTTGTAAATATTCAAGGAGGACTTGAATATGTTAATAGCTGCAGTAAAGACCCATAAATAAACACATACTTTCCTACATCAGTTTACTTTAAGGTGCAGCAGTAGCAGTTGTGAATATTTTTGCTCAATTGATTACTGGATTCACATGGTTAGAGCAGCTCTCACAGGTATTTAAAGCTGGAACAACCAGCAGAGGTGCATCAAACACAGTTCTGCCAGTTGCCTTGCATGCTATTGCTGTTCCCTTGAGAACAATCCCTGCTGATCTTAACTGGAATAGGCTTTGTAGTGTTTTCAGTCCCTGAATATGCTCAACCTTGCTTCTTACCAGTTTGGTAATCTCCAAATGAGACCATAAACCAACAGACCTACTCTGTACTATTCAAACAGGAACGCTGAGTGTGAAGCTAGCAACCAAAAAGCAACCTTGGAGCACTCCAACTAGGAAGATGATCTGTGTTAATTGACACTGGTACACAAAATGATACAAAGCAACACAAAAGAACGTCAAGGATTGTTGGGCATTACTAGAATTAATTGGGAAAGGGACAAACAGAAGTTTAAGGGATCTTAGTTTTGTGATTGATTTAGCAGTATGTCATTCCTACAGCTTCTATAGCACATCTGCACTACAACCATGTTTCCAATAGTCATCAAATCAGAAATGGGAACACACAAATTGTTTTTGAGCTGAAACTTTAAAACACAGGCTTACAGAAGGTAGTAAATCAGCTTTCCCCCTTTGCATTTCTTCAGAGAAACATTCAGTGGTTATGTTGCAAGTTCAACCTGACACTGTCACTGCACGAGCTGAAGAGGCCTCTTGGAGGAGCAAGCAGCACCAGAAGTCACTATCAGCCCTCCAAGCACACACACTGGATAAATATTCCAGAGTCTGACAGTCATTCTGAAAGCACTTCCACAGGATAAACCATTTACTGTTCTTACTGCAGGAAGGAAGGGAAAGGTTGCTGTAGCCAGAATTTGAGGTTCTGGAGAACACTGCAGCAAGGAAGCCAGGAACACTGAAGGTGGCTGCTGAGTGACAGTAATAAAGCATGTGTTATTTTGGAACATCTGTGATGACAATTTAAGGTTAGTAGGGTGAGTGCCACTATCAGAGTGAAAGGCTAAATGGCCCTGATGGTGCTACAGCAGTTCAGGAAGCCATGCAGGGCTGAACAGAAAAGCACCAGAACATGTTTTAGTAGTTGTCAATTCCAAACATTTAATAGAATGTAGGTTCACTAGAGCAAGTCTGGAACCAAGACACTTCATATCATTCAAGAAAAACCAAAACCTTAATGCACTTTAGCCAGGCATGAAAACCAGTTATCACAGCAACCAGACATTAAATAGTTCCCACAAAAATATTTAATCTCCACAGTATTTTCTTTTGATAAGTTTAGTCCATTTTGTAGAACTTTACAGGAGACAGTACTTAATGAAATATACAGAGCAACAGGTCAGCTTTAGCTTTTTCTTTCTTTGTGTTTTTTAAACTTCTCCCCCCCATTTACTTCTCCTGGTCACTTTGTCATGACTACACAAGTTGTCCTTTGTACATTAATGTTTCCATGTGGAAAGTGGAAATAAAGAATGTTCAGCACTGCACCCCTTTTAGGATGCAATGACTGGGGTAACTGGACACAAGTCCAACAAAACTATTGAAGCATTTTACATACAATATATACATGGACAGCACATTCTGCAGCTTACTGAGGCTGGGACAACATAGACAATTCAGGGAAGAACTGCAGTTCCAGTGACTAATTCAGAACTCCCTATGTCAGAATGCCTGAAAAAAAAATTCCAAACATTCACACCATCACATGCTTAATATCCCCTGACAGGATTATGAGCATGTGAGTTGCCTATATTTGGTTCCAACACAAAGATTCTCTTAAACATTCTGCAAAACAGTTGCTTCCATGGCATCATAGTATGGTATTAACTTAGCAAGAGGAACAGCCATTAGTTTTAATACAAAAAGCACATGTAAGTGAAAGTCCACAAGAAGACTGCACATTCCCTGTGGCATCTGAGAGCTGTGACCCCACAGATATCTATCAGTGCTCTTTCACCTTACTTTAAAGTGCTCAAAAGGGATCACATAGCTGAGAAGCTCCAGACCAGTGCCAAGTTCCAAGAGATTTGGAATGCCAGCACTGGGCCTTGGAGAAACTATTCCCAGGCACTTCAGTCCCTTAGTGCATCTGTCATACTTCCCACCCTAGCAGGAGAACGTGGTAACAAGGGAATTCACCTTCTACTAACTTGCATGTTTCAGTTACCTGAAACTTATATCTGAACTCCTGTGAAGAGATGTTTATAAATCAAATTTCTGAGAAGACCAAAGTCATGAAATTGCTCCATGTGCACCCCCAACACCCCCTGGTTTAGAAGCAGATGGCAGGAAGTGTACTGCCTGGATCATTTTCACTTTTAAATCTGGGGTGCTGAACTCTGTTTTGGAAGAGTTTGCAAGTTAACTAACTGTATAAAAATACAGCATAGTTGTAATATTGCTCTGAAAAGCACTTTTGCAAACTTTTTCTGTACAGACTGGTAATACCATTACCAGATAATATAATACATATTTAAAATAAAAAAGGAACTCTTTTAATAGCTCTGAACACTAAAGTCTAAATAGCTTTTTTAAAACACAACAGTGTGACCCAGGAAGATTTTGCCTGCATGGGTAAATTATAGCAGCATGGTTACTGGCTTTTCAAGGAAATTCTTGAACTCAGCAAGCCACTGTGCTCCAACTGCTCCATCCACAACACGATGGTCACAGCTGAGGGTAACAGACATTACACTGGCCACATCAAATCTGAAAAGAGTGAGGAAAAAGAAAAGTTAACAGAAGAACAGCCCCATGCTGTTGTTTTACCCAATAACCTCTAGCTTCCACATGAGTTACTGATAGACACCTAGAACTATTAACAAGTTTAGAAAATTCTAAATGTCCTCCTGGGTCTATGCTAGTTCAAGCTCCAAGAAAGGCTGTATTATGTACAGGACACTTGACTTATAATCCACCCATTAGATTTTCCTTAAATGCAAATTTAAGCAAGTTGTTAAAGATGAATAGCTGCCTGAACTGTTGGGGATCCCAGACCCACTTCCACAGCTTCACCCTACCCCTCAAAGAAATAAACAGCCTCTCCTTAACTTGCAAGAATAAATATATGGCAGATCATTCATCAGCCACTTCATTTGTCTAATGCTTTCTGTGGCCCTTTTATATAAGATCTCACTGTACTTTTTCAGCAGGTAGTGAAAGCAGTATGTCAACAATTAATTATTTTTTTTTTTACTTATAAACTACTGAAGTGTTAGAGAACTAGCCATTATTTCAAAGTTTGAGTCCAGGAGCTCAGCATATGCAGAGCCAGATGAATACTTACCCTTTCTCATTATCAGCTGGCACTAGCCTTTTCTCTGAGGAACCGACTGCAAGGATGCAGGCTTGAGGTGGATTGATTATGGCAGAGAAATTCTTAATCCCATACATTCCTAAATTGGAAATTGTGAAAGTACCACCCTAGAAGAAAAATGCATTCACAGTCACACACACAGAAGCTGTTCCATGTGGAATACTAATGAACATGGCTGAAAACATCACAAAATAGCTTTGCTCATTCTGAACAAGGCTTCTCAACAGAAGTCAAGGGCAGCAACATTTAACAAGTTTCTTACCTGGAATTCATGAGGCTGCAGTTTACCTTCTCGGGCTTTAGCTGCCAGAGACACCACATCCTTACTAATGGAAGCCAGGCCCTTTATGTGTGCATTAAACACAATAGGGGTTATAAGCCCTGCAGGAGTGCTAACTGCAACACTAACATCCACCACGTGGTTTCTGCAAGACACAAAGAAGGTGCCAGTTACTCTAGCAAGGTAACAAAAAAAAACCCTTCAGAAGTGTTTAGACAACTCTAAATTAATAATGTTGCACGTTTCACTTTGCACACTAGCCTCAGACACAAGGTTCTTAGCACACTAACAAAAGCCCCTCAACCTTTGCATTTCATCTGTTCCCCTCCCTCCCCAAAATCCCAGCAGGAGCTGTGCTGTGTTGCCATGATCTCTTTACTGAACAAAGCAAGTGTCTGGCTTCGACCGTACCATAAACTTACTGCCTAATAACGGTGTCCATCCATGAAGAATTTGCCTCAGGAACCTTCAAGCATGCCAGAGCAGACGCTTTAATTATGAAGTCATTAACAGAAAGCTTAATGTTCTCTGAGACCTCCTGTAAATGAAGAGATTGGCAGTGTCAGTTTGTCTCTCACAGGCTACCTCAGTTAACTTGGACAGTCACTGCCACGAAGCCCTGTTTGTTCAGAGACAATGTTAGAAATCAGTCACACTGCTTGCAAGCATCACTAATTAAAGTACCAAGATAATTTAGGAAATAATCTCCTTCATCATTTAACCACGTGCAATCTTTTCTCATGTCTGTTTTCCATAAACTTGGCTTAGAATTATTATTATCACTTTGCTTAAATTTTCTACCCTTTTTACTCTTAAAAACCCTTTCCCCCTCCTTTCCAGAGGGAAGAACTGACCACCACCCAGAAGCCACCCTCTTAGGGAAGTCAGAAATCACTGCACAGTACCAGGATAAAAAGTCTTACTCTGTCACAGCCAATCCAGAACCCATGCACAACAGGTAGAAAAGGCACTGAAAAGACTATTCCACAAAAAAATGGCTTATCACCAGAAAGCAGGGTGGGCAAAGCTGAGAGAGAAGGCAGCTTGCCCTGCACACGCTCTCACCACGCCTCAGTGCTTTACCTGATTGAGTTCTTTCCTTAGCACCAGTACTTCTCCCATGTT